GTTTAATATTAGGGGGAAGGGATTGCCGTGTATATGTTTACTCGCGCGACTAACTAGAGGAGTAGGTGGCCGCTGTGCTTCTAGAGTTCGCATGGGCTCAAGCCCGGTTTTTTTGGCTGGTGGTTTTGCACAGTTTCCTTGCGACGGTGTACTTCCTTCCAGTGACACGCCTCATCTGGAAGGTCCTGAACAAACAGCATCTCAAAGCATATCGAGGGTTGCTTCCTTGTTTTTTTCCAAAACAGGTGTCTTGCCAGAGAGCACAACATACGACAATCCAGGTAAGGGGTCTCCCTAAGCAAGCATTGATTTCACGGAAAACCCCTGAGCCCGCTCATGATCTTGGGATTTTCCATGTCAATGCCACGTGACAAAATCTGAGCATGCAGCTCACCTGCAGCCCCATCGCCCTCCAGTCTTGAAGCCTGATCCCTGATTCCTTACATCTTGAACCTCATGACCACAACTCGAAAACCTTGAACCCCCTGAAACCCCCCAAACCCTGGAAGCCCTGAGACTAAAATCCGCTGGATCTGGGAGGGAGCAACTCCACGACGGCCACCCTGTGAGCACTTGCTGGATGCTGGGGCCTCAATGTTTTGCTGCAAGACTTTCAACAGCGCGCGTCTCACATCCTATCCCCTTAGGGTTTTGTTAACTTTTGCAGTAATCGTATGTATAAACTTAAAGAACTATTCAAAATTTTGTGGATTGTAGGTCTAGGGGGAGTACAGTTACTGAGGGCTTGGGGCTGAGGGTTCAGCCGTTAAGGTGTAGGCTTTATTAGCTTCTGCTGTAGGTTGTAGGGTTCAGGATTCCAGGTTAGAGGTCAGTGCTTACGGTCTGTTTTAAGGCACCCTCGGGTTACTCAGGATTAGGGGTTGGGGTTTAAGTTTAGCGGTCAAGTGTCTGCTTTGAGGTCTAGTGAACTCAATATACAGGGTGGGTTCAGGATAGGACCACAGGGCTTGTATCCGAGCTTGGGCATTATGTTGTTTACCCTGGTGACAGAGCAAGGGCAGCAGGGCCGTCAGCAATTGGAATGAGGTTTTTTCTGTAGTGCGAATGATACTTTATAATGGCTTTGTGACGAATTGCGCTACTAGTGTTCACAAGCTTTGGTTCAGAGCATGCGGTTGAGAGCATGGTAGAATCGCCCTTGATTGAGCCTTGCATGCAGATATGCTGAGGTCTGCCAAGAAAGCAGGCGGTAGGCTACGGGTGGTGACGCAGAAACATGGGCCACATCAGGTGTTCAACAACATCCGTGACGACGAGTACGAGCACATCCTTACAATGAAGGCCCGTATCACGACGTTGGCTGCGAAGCTTTGATGTAGTGACGTGAACTGTCCCTTTTTCTGACTTCTGCAATGCAATCTTAAGCATGAGGGTAGCCTCGTCTTGAGAAAACGGTGGTTTCCCAAAAAAAGAGGGGTACCATTTTCGGAGTCCTCATAATAAGGACTATCGTATTTTGGGGGTCTATATTTTTGTCCCCTTGTTATGGGAAACTACCAAATCCAGAAGGAATCCAAAAGCTTGGACCCTCCAAGGCCTGCCAAGAGTGGTGGGGCGGCCGGGGGCCATCCCCTGTGCCTACAGAGCCCAGGCGGTCAGTCTTTTAGGTTTTAGGCTTAAGTTCTTAGGGCTTTGGGACGTTTTAGGGTTTGGGGTCAAGGGCCTTGGGCTTTGAGATTGAGAGCTTGAAGGGGGTAGCGTTGAGGTCCCTAGGTTGAGGTGAAGACTTTTCTCTGGCTAGCTGTATTTTTATTGCTGCAGTTGCAAGTATCACATGGCAGCTTCTCGCTGGGGAGTCCCCAGCAACCAATGATCCGATGAGTCTGTCTTTCAAGGGGCTGGGGCCATAGTCTTGAGAATTTGTCATGTTTTTTCTCGCTGGTTTTCTCATTCTTGCGCTCACACTTGCAGACGGCGCAGCAGTGCGGTGATCAGGGGCCGCAGTTCTTGCCTTTGGTCCTCCAAGCTTGCAGTGGTGTTTTTTGTTCGCGAGTGCTGAAAGGGCCATTGGTCTGGTACCTTACAGATGCCTTGAGCGTTTTGCCCAAACCTATCTGGCTTGGCCCACTTAGTGGTGCGGACAGCACCTGATGCAGGAACAATGATACTGCATTGCAGCATCCTACATCTTACTTGGTGATTAGCACCTGGCCTGTCATCTTGGTTGGTCACACTGTGGACCGGACTTCAACCTCTATACAGATCTGTACGGTAGCTTGGCTTAAGCACAAAAAAGCGCCTCACGTGAAGTCTCAGAAGAGTTGGACGTACGAGCTCACGACACCACCGCCACAGCAGCATCGCGTCAGGAGCCCGCAGCCCACTGAGGATTGGCCAGAAAGGCCTGGAGCACCCGAAGGTGCGCGCAAAAGACAAAGCGCTGCCCAAACGTTCCATCGCAAGCTTGCGGCCAAACAACGACATCCATGCGTAACAAGAAGCGATGGATGCACTCACAATGCCCAGATGTACTCAACCCTAAGCAGCCTCTGGACAAACTGCATGGGGCAACCATCAACCGATGAGATATTGCATGTTTGAGCCCCACCAAGAGCCCAGCAAACGCCATGGCGCCCTCCAGTGAGGAAGACGACAATGACCAGCAAGTCCGAATCACTTGCAGCCACCGGCCACTGAAGAAGAAGAAGAAGAAGAAGTGAAAGCGACAATACCGATCCGCCACCACATACACTACCACCCTACAAGCCGGAACCAAGTACGACTCATGCCAAGAGGCCCGGATGATCACTCCATCGCTTCCGAGCCAACTGCAGCCCAACCAGCAGCTATCGCAACCACCACGGTACTGGTTCCAGGGTTCCAAGTTGCCAGCAACGCCATCCGCATCACAGTAGCCAAAGTTCGTCGGCATAAGAAACCAGATATGCTAAAGTCCATCCAGGGTGGTGGAAAAGACCTGCACTCAAGGAGCAATCGAAGCTGCTGCATCATCAACAGTGGCACGCAACCATGGCGTGTTGCCTGCAGGTACTCTCTGCACCCCCTACCCTACCCTAGAGGGCCCCAGCCCGAACCACGTGGATGTGGTACCTGAGCCCAGGCTCTTGCGGTGGTGGGTGGGGCTTGTTGCTGTGCAGACGGCACCCGTGAGTCTCCCGGCATAGTCACGGAGCAGCTTTGCCAAGCGCCCAATGCTGCCCTGTGTGCAAACGCCCACGCCGTCCTCCGCTGTTTGCCAGACACGAGCTCTTGCTTCGTGACTAGCTGGCCCCACAGTTCAGCCTGCCCTCTGTCAACAGCCCTCGTCGTCCAACGCTCCCAGGTAACTAATGTAGACTGGGCATGTCAGCTTCGTGCCTGAAGACTCAACCTCTCATAGCAGCAGTGCTCCCTGATACGCTGTGCTTGCTCTGGTATTGACCTTGCGTGCGTTTCGAGTCTTCTGGGGCTTGGGCACTCCGAACCCTGAACCATGTCATTGTGGGGTTGATGCCAGCAAGAAGTCAGCAGTTCACCTTGGATTCACATTAAAAGGGCTGGAAGACTTGCTAGCATTATTCTAAGCCCTAGTCGAAGTGTCTGGCCCCTTCTGACCCCATGCCGTTAAGCTGTGGCGCAGGAAGTCGCAGGCGAACCGAAAGGCTGTCGCTGGGGTTGAAGCCTGTGGGTTTGGAGTTCAGGACCTAGGTTGAGGGCTTAGTGTAGCCTACAGGATTTGGGAATGTAGGAGTTGTGGATCTGGATTGACGATTTTGGGCAAATGGCCGCTGAAATCCTCGCCAGAAGAAGCCCTTCTGTGACACGCATGATTTGGAGATGTTTCTCCAATGCTGACGGCCCCAGGGTCAGATTGATGAATTTCACGGCCAGTGGCAGGATGCAGCAGATGTCGGGAAGCCGTATTAGTGGATGTATATAAGGACGCACTTACAATTCAAGATGCTCGAAGTTGTGACCACCATCAATCTAGGTTCCACTGCAAGATACGTTATTACTTTAGCGCCAAGGAGCTTCTTGTTGGAGAGGCTTCGAACCTAAGATTCATTCAGCTTGCTGACGCGCACAAGCACCATGGTGATTGTTCCGCTGGGTATTGGTAACTTGGGGATTTTCAACACACGTTTTCTGGACGGACGCTCTGAAAGGATCCCTTTGTTTGGCTTTCCTGCTTCATATTGTTTTGGCAGAATGCGTGTATAGCCAGGAAGCGTTGCCAATGCCCTGAATCTAAGGGGCAGAAGTCATTGTTACCGTTATTGTATTGCTCTTATTAATTACTATTGTTGCGATCATTTGTATCACGTTCCAGAAGTCGCGAAGGCATGGGAAGAGTGGGCCGAGAAGGTGAATGCCCTTGCTCTAGGCGAACAAGCCTGAGGTCCTGCAGTCACCCACACTAGACACTCTCAATATGGACTCCCAAATTCCCAAATAGTATGACCCTTATCATAGAGACTCTCAAAAATGGTACCCCTGATTTTGGGAAACCCCCATATCTGGGTGTCTTGACAGCGTGATTCCTTCAATCCAGGAATTTCTTTCTGGTTCGTAGTCGGTGAGAATCAATGTCTGCGTCTGGGTGCTGCTAAATTTTGCCAGACGGCCATGTCAAAATATTTCAGCCCTTAAGGGCTTCCGTTCCTGTAGTGTGGACCACTCCAAAGTTGGGTGGCAGTTTCGAATTGATTTTAAGACTGAAGTTTAATGAATTGGCAGGTTTCTGATCCGATTCGAGCTGCTGAAGAGTAGCATAAAAAGGCTGCTCAAATTTGTCGATCCCCTTATGGGATCTTGATACTTTGTCACATGTTCAGGGCTACGTAGGCAGGAGATCTCAGTTTGATAAATCTCCGAATTGCAATGCAATATACTGTTTGAACATGCGTGGCAGCAGAGACCCATGAAGCAGCTAGCCTCGCTGATAGCATGAGATGTGGGGACTGGACAGGGGCTGGGTTTCTTTGGGAGCGTGTGGATTATGTGCAAGTTGCTATGATTCGTTGGGATGTCTCGTAGTCATGGGCTCGTCTTTGGTGGTCCGTATCATACCCTTACTCAAGATTCTTGTGTTTTGCGGGGTAGACAACCTTCCGATTTCTCTTCTACCTCATTTGTCTTTGACGCTCCTCAAGATGGCGGATCTCTTTTAAAAGTGTGGAAAATGAGGATCATTGTATTTCCCTGTATAGCACTGATAGAAGCCACTATTTGAACAATGTTCGCCTGGGAGGGGAATTGCATAAGCAAGCCGCCCACAGCAGCCTTATTGGTCCACAGACAGAGTTCGTGAACCATACCTTCCAGCACTGTGGGCTTGCAGCTGCCGACAACATGAAGGTTTCAGAAGTTACTCGGCGTCAACTCTAATCCTAACTTCCTGAATCTTGAGCTGTACGTCATGCTTTGAGTCAGACTTCTTCAGATTCCATTGTGTCCAGCCTAAGCATGAATGCAGACCACGACAGGACCTGCACATGTAGGCCCCTTAAAGTAGATCAGATAGAGGTTGAGGGATGTAGGGACCCCAAGAAACATATCACGGGCAGCCAGCCTCCGGGCTTGAATCTTTCTGGCACACATGGAGACGCGAAAGGCCCTAGACGCTTCAATCCCTGGGTCCAAACGGTCGACCTCGCATGTGCGATTCCTTAGCCCCTCCCCGCCTCAACTCTAAACCCTAAAACCTAAACCCTGGATATTGAGATCCAAGGTCTTTCAAACCTGCAGCATCCTGAGCGTCGTGCTCTTCCTGAAGTACTTCGTGACCAACCTTCGCTGGGCGGTGTTGAAAGGCAAAGCCAACTTGCGGGCCAGGGAGGACCCTCCCTTACGGTGATACGGTGATTTTTGAGAGTTCATCCCGTCGGGGTACCCTTCAGAAGGGATTATAGGGATATGCGGGTAGGGTCTAGGCTTTGGGGGTTAATTACTCAACATGGTGAGGCCTTTTGGTGCCTTTTGGCATCTTAGAGCTATATGGGGATTGCAGAGAGGGAGACTGGGCTTTCTAGGAAGGGTTTGCTTTACACTTTAGAGGTAGCTTCTTCAATTTTAGCAGCTCCCATTCATGGGTCCCATCCTGGGGTTCAAAAGATGGTGTGCGGCGGTGGTTTCTGGAACTTCAGGACGTCAACAACAATCCGAATGCAACACAGGATGACGTTGACAGGGCGACGCAAGCAGGCTTTTCGTCTCTCAAGGCTTTTGTGAGTCAGACATGTGAGGCTGACCCAGGCAGATATGCTGAGTTGTAGCTGACACGTTGGATGTGCCATGGTTGATGCACTTACCTGCGTCTAAGGCCGCATTGTGCAGAATGATTTGGAGAACATTCCATTCGCGCTCGTCTTCATGTGGGGCACAGCCCTTGCTATCCTAGGGGCCGCTCTTACGCCGCTGAATAACACATCCGACCTTTGCACAGCACATGTCGTCCTGGCGACCATCTTCACGGTGACACGTGTGACGCATAGCATCATCTACATTCTGCAGTTGCCCCTCTCGAGGGGCGGCGTATTCATCATCGGTACTACTGCGCTCTTTGGCATGGGAATCGTGGGCATTGTCGCCGCATTTGAGATGACGATCTGAGCCCCGCAAAATGCTAATGAGCTGCTAATGTGCCCTTGTCACCTTGTACAGATCTGTGGGATTTCTGCTCAAAGGAGCTATGCCCTGCCAAGAGTTCCGGACCCTTCGGCGGCTTGAACCGAGGGTGTGGGATCTGCAAGAAGCAACAAGTTGGTAGGCATCTCGCTGAAGCTGCGTTGTGCTGGGCCTGGTATGGCTCTCCATACCTTGCGCTTGCTTGACAGATTGATTGAAGGATTTACTGCCGCGACCTTCAGACGTGATAGGCCTCCAAAGGAGGGGAATGGGGCTTAGAACTTAGGAGGGTTCTGGGGCGTCGCCATGGACTCATATTCCGCGAGGCCGCTGAAGTGGAAATCACTGCTGCAGGGCCATTGCAAGTTCACTCAATCTCATTTGTCGAATTCTCCTCTCCGCAGCAACTTATGTGCTTAGCTTGTCAGGGGGAATAGCATCTTCTGCACCTTCGTCACGGTGCTGGGGACCACGGCAGTCTTGAACCACCTCTCGTCGGGGGCTCCAGCAACATAAGGATTGCACCAGCATTCACGGTGTGTGCAGAGCGATTGCAACGGAGGACCTTCCTACCCATGAAGCAGTTCGATGTTCGAACATCTGGCACCGTGCACCTAAACAAGGCTTGGACAGCTTGGTGCAGTACACATGATACGTCTATCCGCGAAGAACAACAACACTGCCTCTCAGTCACCCGGCATGGCCTGGCAGATACATGACCTCATTCCCAACTCGCACCATGCTTGCGACCAGAGCTATGGCCTCAGCGATCATGTAATGACAGGCCTGTTTGACACGGCTCAGGGTTCTGTGGTTGCAGCCTTATTTCCAATCTGGGCCGTTTGGGGATTATGCTTTCAAGTCCACTGTTCAGTCGGAGGATCGAAGGAGCCAAGAATATGGGACCTTCCGCCCAATCCAAGAAATGTAAGTAAGCTCCAGGGCTATGGATCCAGCATCCAACGAATGCCTTTTTAGGGTTAGCGATCCATCTCCTGTGCTCGGATCACAGATGGAAAGGAAGAAGGAGTAGATAGTTGTGGGAGCGGTACTAGTGATAGCAGAATACTAAGACCGGAAGTAAGATCTAATACCATGACTATTCTTATGAATATTGATATGATTCTTACTACTATTATGTTTTCTATGATTATGTCTGCTATTCTGATTGTATACTGGAAGTAGTAATTGGCGCGTTGAGGTGTGCTCTCATTCAACGTTAGCCATCAGCTCTCCAGCGAATTCCACTGGCCAGCTACCCGGTATTTGTGAAGGGGCTTGTCAAATTTGTGGTCCTTTTTTTGGGGGTACCCTGCAAATCATAATTTTGACAACCTACCATATGCTTGCTTCAGATTTTCTTGCTCATCCCCTAAACCCTAAACCCTAAAGCTCTTTGGGAGAAGAGAAATGGGTTGATACAGAGCATTCGAGGGATTAACATCCTGGGTAGCCATCCTTGCGGCTCCCTAATTAGGCCCCTGGGATATTGAATATTTTCCCTAATGGCTTTAATAAGGGACCCTATATACTGATATTTTTCAAAGGGTCTTAGGGGCCAACCCAGCTCCTAGTCATGAATTGGGGTAACCAAGGCTCCGCAAGGTGGGCTGATCATTCATTACTGCCAGTCTGCCGCTTCTTGCTGCTCTGGGCTGAAGATTCCGTGTGCCAAGTTAGGGTTCATGCTACAAGCCCATTCATCCTGAGCTACACTATCATGCTGCTGATCGTGCTTGCTTTTCGTGTCTCAGGAACATGAACCAGCTGTTCGTCTACCTTGTTGCGACGTACAATGACACGGCCTCCAACATGAGGAACGAGGCAGCGATGTTCCTGCACTCAATGTGACTGACAGTAGAGGATTCAGTGACAACATGTTAGAAGAACGAACATCAGAATGTTTGCAACCTCATACTGGGGAGTCTTGCGCCCAAATTGACACTCTTTTTGTTATGCCGCTTTTTGGGCAGCCACATCACAAGCTTGATGTAAAGGAGCCGTGATGGCAGCTCTGAGCTTTGGAGCTTTTGGGTGCGTGGAGCATCATACGTGAACGTGATTCGTTCAGTACTAACATGTCCGTTTTCTTGCAATCCACCCAAATCTTAGTTAGGTTTTTAAGCCTCGAAACTACCGAAACTCAAGAACCTTCGACAAGATCCTTGACTTTCTGGATTTTCCTACGAAGGCCTTGCTGAAATGTTTTGTGCTCTTCGCGCAGACAGAGCAAAGCGTCGGTAAGACTAGTCCTAAACCGCGGCGCCCGAAAACCTAAACCCTACGTTGAGCTTAGCTGTATGCCAAAGAGAGCAAGCATCTTTCTAGGTCTTAATTAAGATCTCAGTAGCTGCGCTGGCTTGCAGCTTACCTTTGCTCCGCCTTCAGGTTACACTCTGGGCTGGGAGCTTAGCAGGAAGGCCTTCCTTGATCGGTAAGCATTCAATGCATTGAAAACATCCTTGGTGTGATTGTAACAGACACTTGTGCAACAAATCCCCAAGACGCTTACTTAGGGAAACCTCCATGTCATGGCGCTTCGGCGTCACTTCCATGAGAACAAGGATGTAAGTCAGTCTTCAGGTTGCCAGGAGCAGGGCTCCTAATTTGAGCAGAAAGCTTGCTGCTTCTCGAGCTTTTCTTTGCTCAGTTTCAGAAACATGCTCGCGCTATGCCCCAACATCTGCGCAGATCTGAGGACAAGATCGTCAGAAGCCCGGACGCAGCGACCTTCAAACAGAGGCCTGGGCGATAGCTTCAGAGGCGAATAGCCTGGGCAAGATGCATAATCCTCTGTCGAGTCTCGAGTCCGAATCCTTACAAAAACCAAGAGAGATTAGGAGGTCCTCCAACATGGGTGCCACCATCCTGTGACTGTCACAGACCCCTGACCAGGAGTGCGATGATAGAGTACCCCCTCAAGGATCAGCACAGGGAGCTGCGCAGCCACAAGGCACTCCGCGCCCTGTGCACAGACTACAAAAACACTGCGAGTGCTGCAAGCAAAACTCCAAGGATCCCAATCAAAGCATGTTCTGCCAGGTTCGACTCCATCTGCGCTACCGGACAATGCCGATTGTCGGGTTGATGCATGGGCCCTACCTAGACATGTAGCGCCGGCAGATTTTGGAAGAATCCGTACTACCTCTACCTAATGGGTCGACCTCTGGGTTTGTATTGGCATATGTACACATACTCACTGGTTCTCAGCAGGGAATAGGGGAACATAGTCCCTACAATCCCTAATGTTTAGGTGACAAGAATAACCACCCCTCCCCTCCCCCTCCCAAAAAAAAAACACTTGTTTTGCGATTTGGGCTTACGGAAGGGGGGGGGGGCGGTCGCAATAACAAATGACGGGGACATGGGTAGGACCAGGTAGAGCAGCTCGTAATACTTGTAGGACAAGTAAAAGAGAATCTATTAGAATCGGGACGTTTCCGGCCGGACATTTACATTACTGCACACCCATTTATTTTTGCGATTTGGATTTGTTTGTAAATTTTCGGGCTCCGAACTTGTTAGAAAGCAAATCTGATTGTCCGGGATTTTTCCCGGCCGGCAACAAAACGCTATTGTCACCCCCTTTATGAATGCTACGTAAACATTATATACTATGATAATACTACGTTCAAGCTCAGGCCTTGTCGCCTCGCAGGACTAGGTCTTGCTTCATCATCAAGGGACAGTTACATGTAAGGGCACCAGATGCCTACATTCTAAGAAGGGCACTGGCCAGTGCAAGTTCTGAGCGGGTAGTGGATCAATCTCACAAGTATGCTGTGTCCCAAAGTGCCTGCATGAAAAACAATGTCTGTCATGAGACCCTATTGAAGCTTAGGAAGATGTTGCATCCTCATCGCTCAACCCAGATCGACTCTGCACTTCATATATTCCTGGCGAGCATACTAGGCACGAGAAGGAGGTGGCGGTCGACGACTTCCAGGTATCTCCGCTCCGAGCGCAGCGCTCCCTTTCTGTCGGGAGTGTTCGGGTAAGTGTTACGCTTTGCCAAGAAGTGGTGCATACGTATGCGTATCTATATGTGTTTCGTTCTTCGGACACTGTTGTTACCTCTGCTAATCGGCCAGAGCTTTGAGGGGCCATCAGCCAGTGGCCTGTAGTTAGTGTTCACCTGTGGAAGTTCTTAATCCAGGGGGACACATCATGGAACGCCTTTTTTAACCGCCTTTTTAAGCCTCCCACCACACCTGTCGGCAAAGCCATGCGACTACGGCTCCAACAGGGACATGGCTGCAGCACCGTTTCAGGTAGCTTTAGGGTTTAGGGCTAAAACAACTACGGCTCATGAGCAGGCATGAGGCATCACCGCTAGCCAGCTGTAGCTCTCTAGCCTCTGGTCTGCCGTCACTTGACATCCAGCATGCTGGGCTATGCATGTCTTTTTGCAAACACAGGACTCCCATGCAAAGCAAATGCTAAAACCCGGGGCCCCTAGTTTTTCAATACCTCTCGAACATGCAACAACTTAAAGTGAGAAGGCCCCAGAGACTGGGACCCAGATATAGACCCCAAGATATTGTTGGGATCCCCGAAAAGGTCCCCTCCCCTAATTTTTTTTGGGAAGCTGAAGCAAGCCATGCCATGCGGGGCTTGCGCCTCTGCTCCACGGCGGTGCCGAAAGAGGCTCTGCCTACAGATGCTGGGGCCCCAGGTTGAGGGTTTGGGGTTTAGGGTGTTGTAACTGTAGTTTCCATAAATGGGCGGGCCCCAATACAACTATATGCCCCCAACTATTATGAGCCTTCTAAATTATTGGGACCGCCAAAATGGTACGCCTAATTTTGGCAACCCCCATGTGTGTCACCTTAAGGCAAACACTTATCAGCAGCTCAAGCAGTCCCCTCTCTACGTTGCTGTGGCAGTAGCCCTATATACAGTATCAGTAGATGTGTATATAGTTATCCCTATATACTCGTATATCTTGTGTATAGCCTATTCAGCACCATGACAATTCGGTCCATAGAGTTGCTTGCCGAGGCCCCAAGTTTTCTGCAACCGGCTTCCCTAGAATCTCTGCAGTATCCCTTGGGTGGACACAGTAATAGTGACTATAAGGGATAATTGTGATGATATCAGGGTCCTCTTATATTCCTCTTATATCGCTATTACAGCGTCGGGGGGTCCTCCTAAAGTATCCTTATGGGCCTCCCTGTGCACCCTGCATGGTCCTCCGATTAGCAGCTCCGTTGCAAGTTTGTCTGACGAGGCGATTGAATCGTTGCGGGCAGCGGTGCGGTGGCACCAGCCCGCCGGATCCCAAGCGTAGTATCTTAATAATCCTGCTTGTAAGCCATGCTGCCTGGCACCTTGGAAAAAGGGTACTGAATTGGTTCAATATCTTGTAGTGACATTCCTTTACATGACCTAGGTCTACTACATCTTGAAGTTCTTGAGGCAGTTACTTACGTTCAAACAAGGGAGCTTCTCAAAATGTGCTCAAGGGGAACCCCGACAATCTTCTCATCATCCTATATGCCCCTGAGGTCCCTGCTGCATCCGTGTCTTGCGAAATTCCTATACCCTAAACAGTAGTTTCCATTTTCTTTTCCATTCTCCCTATATAATATAGTAGCTTCCACATTGTTTTCCATTTCCCTTATATAGCCCCTGTATAACCCCAAGATTACAGAGCTTCTTCAGCCTCTGAACCCAAGCTGCTTGATCAGAGTCCAGATGAGTCCAGCCTGTATACCTTCCTCATACCCGCAAGATGATTCTGGGTTCTGGGGGTGTCTGTGAATGGTGTCCCTTCTTTCGGCTGAGGGGCGGTCAAGGTTTTTGGCTAGATTGAAGTCTTGCTGCCTGACCTCCACATGTGCGGAGTCTCATCATCAGAGATCTGACATCTTGAACCCTAAACCCCAAATCCTAAACCCGAAGAAATTACAAATGCTCTGTCAAAATCACAGGCAGCTTCTAGGATTGATTGCTTGACTTGAGCACCAGCTATGTCCGACCGCTACCGTATACTGCATAGTGTCTGATAGGGTCCTAACTAGAAAAATCCTGTATGTAGTCCGAAGGAAACTGCTGCCGGTACCGGCAATGGTTCCCAATCTCCTTATCGCGCTGCCCCAAAAACTGCCGTGAGTATTAAAGATACCCTTGTGGAAACTCCGGAAAACCTGGAAGACTGCCTCAGTCATCCCCCGTCCGAAGCCCTAAGACCAACCCAAAACCCATGACTGGCATCAAAACCTGAAGCTGCCATGCCGGCCACTCCCATACATCACGCCATTGGCAATGCTCAGCGGCGGGGCCGCAAGGAATGTCTTCGACCTGCCCAAGATCCATAAGAATGGACTACTACTTACTCATTATTTCGGGGTCAAAGGCTACTAATTGGTCTAATTGAGGGTTTGGGATTGATTGGCAAATGAGGACTTGGGGTTTCGGATTGCAAATGAGGATGTGGGCTGTTGCAGAATCTGATAGAAGACCCCATGTCATTTGGAATAAGACCGGCGCCATGTCCTAAGTAATCCTAGAGTAGCACGAACTTGCTCAGTTGGGTGAGTTCCAGGGTCATACAAGCAGTTCTTTTAGCAGAGGCCATGTGCTGAGAGTCCCGCAAGTTGTTCTCGCACGTACACGTAGCAGGAAGTAGCCACAACTCGCCCACAGCTGAGATATGGGCTGTGCAGACTGCTGGCTTGTTGTTAGTAGGGAATAGGGGATTACGATCCGTATATAATCCCCATAGGATAATACATTCCCTTATTCCCTACCAAGCGCCAGTAACCTCAGGGCCTCAGGGAGGTAGAAAAGTTTATGTCCAGAGAGTTTCGGGATCAAAGTGGGTCAGGCCTCCATGGTAGGACCTCCCAGAATCTTTTACCTGTTGCCCTTGGTGGTTAGTGAGGGAATGTGGGAGTATAACCCCATTATAGGGTGTACATAGGTTTAAGGGTATAGAGCTTAGGGTTTCCTACCTGTTGCCCTCTAGTGTCTCGTGGTGATATTTACTTCCAATCCTGTTTACAGCAACCCGGTAGTCCGTGTTACAGGCTACAGGTACCTGTATGCACTGTAATTTTGAAAGCTCGTTGGTTTTGTAGCTTCCGTAGGGAACTACAGTCGCTGAGGCCTGGGCCAACGGCTTGTCTTGAGAGGGAAGCGAATGCAGTCAGGCTTAAGAGAAGGTAGTTTCCCAAAACAGAGAACCCCAGCATAGACCCCCTACTATAGTCTTGATGATGGGGGTCCCTAAAATGGTACCCCTAATTTTAGGGACCCCCCGAAATGTGATAGTATTGCGACAACCATCCTTGGAGTCTTGTAGTGATATACTAGTTTCCATTTTCTTTTCCATTATCCCAAAATAAGCCCAATATAACCCCAATATATACCCTATTATACTATAGTAGTCTCCATTTTATTTTCCATTATCCCAAGTTTAATGTGTTTTCCTCTG